TATATATATTTTTTTATAAATTTGAGTTAAATTAAATGGATTTGAATTGATGGAGTTAATTTGAACAGATTTAAACTGTTTGTATAGTTTTTTGAAAAAGATACAATTACAAATCTTTTTTAGTAAATGTATTTTCAAGCAGTTGTGCTTTAATATTAAAGTTTTGCAGTAATTTATTTTAAGAAAACAAAAATGTAATAATCAATAACGTGATAAAATAGACATGGAATCTGTGCAATATTAATTGAAGAGAAATCGTGAAGAGATTATATTATAATATATACAAAGATTACATGTAATAAAATACATACATAAATACATATGTCTTTATTACTTCAAATTTAATTATATGATTGCAAGAAAATTGTTCAATAAATTTCTCTAAGACATAAAAGTTGTTAAAAGAAGTTGAAAAAAATACTTCGCGTTTTCCTTTAATTTCTTATATGTTTTTGTGCTGATTTATGAGGTTTACCTGATCGACACTATTAGTAGTTTTAATTACGCCAAAATTATCTCCTCTTATATTAGCAAATTCAGTAACTCGAAGTATGAAATTTAAATAGCGACAATCCAACTCTAAGATATGTTACTTGCTCTCGTTTCTTATTTTTTATATAATATGTATCGGAAAATACACGTCAATTTAGTTAAATTAAAATATTAACTTAAAATATCTATAATCTTCTATAATCTATAAATCTTTGAAAAGTGTTGAATCTCTTTTTCTCAAAGCTCTTATGATTAACTTTCCTACGTTTTGAATCATCAAAAATATCAAAATTTTATCTATCTGTCATTAATTTTAAGCAACAACATATAAAAACTGATTTTTTGAACATTTTTATTTTATTCATTTATGGGGAGTAGTGTAAAATATAAAAAAAAATTAATACTGTTTTTATATATCCTGTTGTTTTATTATATCACAAAATCAAGAATATATAATATGAGACAAAACATATATATTTTTTATTAAAATTATGTTTTGTGTTACAAGTTTACATTACTAAAATTATACAGATAATGTTCAATCAATTATATTCAGACAGTTTGTTCTGCTTCTTCATTTTCATCTGTTTCTACTCTTTCATGTTCTTCATGTTTCTGCAATTTATGTACAGCTTTCGTAGCACAAGCAAATAGAGCAAAGCCTTTTTCACATTCTTCCGTAATATTTCTTACTAGAATATAAACAGATATAATTAAAAAGTGTTGCAAAGTATAATATATTTGTATTTTTTTTTGGTTCTTTACATTACATTTTAACACGAAATATGTGATGTATTTTGATTAGCTTATTTAAAACTGAGATAAAAATTAGTACAAAAATACATATATAATAAATCTGAGTTTATTATCTTTTATTTCAAATAATATTTACGATAAATAATAAAATTTCTTGTATTTATAATAGATATAATAATAATTTACCTTCTTTTATGCAATCACGTGCAACCTTGTGTATTTGGGCTTCTCCAGGATAACCAGCGACCTCTCTATTTATTTTGGCATGAACTTTCCCTTCTTGAATGTTTGAACCTTCCATCTAATATTATACAAAAATTTTAAATAGGGAAAACAAAAAATTATAAAAATTTAAAAAAATAAAATTTTGATATTTAAATTTAAGTAATTATAGTAAATGTATATTTTTATTATTAATAACGCAAAATGTCAATTTTTATATTACCTTATAGCGGAATAATATTTCATTAACTACATATATTAATCTGATCTTTATATTAGAAAATTATTTAGCTTTATAAATAATTTAAGATTTTATTGTATAATTGAACCTCGCATTATAACATGATATGCATAAAATCAAATTATATAGTATAAAAATTTACCAAATTTTCTTTTTTTAAGACGCAGACGATAGTGCAACCTAGTTTTTTTGTTCTCTCTTCATTTTCGGGTTCTGCATGTACGCCAGTCATTATTTCTTCTTCTTTGTACCAATCAACTAAAAAATAAGTTACAGAATTACAAAAAAGTACGTTTTTTACTCGTTCTAAATTATGTATTTTAAATAGATCGGGCAAATATGGAAGTTCTATAACGAATTAAAAAGAATTAGTTTAAACAGAACATTAAAAAATTGTAGAAAAAAACATTTCATCAGATTTGGCAAAGCAGAATTTATTCAAGATTGACCAAAAGCTTTTAATAATAAGCAGCGAGAAAATTTTGCAATACATACTATATATCATTACAGCTTACCCTGGGTTATGTTATTTTCCGTCAAACAAACATCAAAATTGTCCTCGACAGTTCTTACCGCATTTTTAAATTGTCGTTTTATTTCACTATCAGCTAAATTGGATGTCTGAAAAATATGCAATTTTATTTTATATGCTATTTTAAATAATCTCTTATATTAAGTTGTTATATAAGCGTAAAATACAATTATATTAAGCATATACTATAGTTAAATATAATATTTATATATTTTACATATAGTTTTATGATATTAATTCATTTTTGTTAAAATTAAAAATATTTTTTTTTCTTTTTATGAATATCTTAATTTTATTATTTATAATATATTAAAATATATACAAAATTATGATAAATATTATTTTTGCTATTATTATTATTGTTTATATTATCACAATAAAATTCTTACAGCAAATCCTAAAACACAGATGCAAAGCACAAGAAGTTTCATTTTGCTAAGATTATTTCACTTTATTACACACAATTTTGTAGAATATTTGTAGCCATTGGAATACATCGTATTTATACTGATTGCAAACATAAAATATGCGAGTAAAAAGATATAAGGTCATAGATTATATAAACATTGAGTATGCAACATAAGCGCAGATATAAAATCATAGACTATATAAACACTGAATATGCAACGATAGTCTTCCGTAATGACTGTATATATCCCATTATGAGACTATTATATGATATATACAGGGCGTAACTAAAATAAGGGGACAAACTTCGGGGGCGAGCTCCCCACACCAAAACATGAAAAAAAGTTCATATCAACATTTATCCGCAAACTCACTGTTACTGAGATACAGCTCAAACAAATGTTTATTAATGGAAAATGAAAAAATAATATTTATTATTATTTATTATTATTTATTTTCAATTTTTAATTACAACAAATGTTCAAAATGTCTCCCATTTGATTCAATAGATGGACACGTCGGATCATGGATTTTTTCAAAACATTCTTTTAAAGATCCCGGGCCGGTTGCGAATGGTTTCACAAGCCGCAAAGATGCGTTAGCGTAGCATATTTTCATTGTCAATTTGAACTTCATAAACTAAAAACTTTAAATGTCCCCACAGATAAAAATCTAGAGGATTGAGGTTAGGGGATCATGGGGGCCATGCAACTAATCCTATTTTACCTATTCATCTGTCGCAGTAATTATGAACATTTTGAGCTATATCTCAATAACAGTGGGTTTATGGACATATATGTTGATATGAATTTTTTTCATATTTTAGTGTGGGGTGTTCGCCCCCGAAGTTTGTCCCCTTATTTTAGTTACACTCTGTATATACTACGTTTACACAAGAATATTCAAGGACATTTATTAAGAATTTATTTATTATTACATATAAAATATTATATTATATTATATTATATTATATATATTATATAATATTATATTATTATTGCATATAAAAATCATACTATCGGCCAAATTTTAATTTTGCTTGTTTCAATGTCCCGCATAAAATTATCAGAAAACGATCATTGATATTCCTTTACAGTCTGACGAAGATCGTAGCTAGCTTTGAACATTAACGAATATTGATTGTTCACGGATTCGTGTGCGCGTCTTTATACTGAAAATTTTAAAAGTAGAATATTTGACCTAATTAAATTCTAATTGATTGCTAATTTCTCACTCTAATTATGAATTTATTGCTTCTATAATAAACAGAAATTTAGTTTGTACACAAGTAATATAAAAAATTATAAATCTTCAAAATATAATGCTAAAATATTATATATGTATATATATATCGTCGCGATCGCGATTAGTATCGGGTATGCCTAACGTGGTATTCGGCCTTGGCAGCGTAAACATTGACGCGCGTAAACATTGTTTATGTATCACTGGTCTTGTTATCATTCACATGGCAATACTCGAGCAGCAACATTTGATTCAATATATGCATGGACATGTCGAATCATGCCGCGATTGCAAATGGTTTCACAAGCAGTAAAGATGTGTTGGCGTAGCATATCTTCATTGTCAATTTGAACTTCATAAACTAAGGACTTTAAATGTCCCCATAGATAAAAATCTAGAGGATTGTGGTAGAAAGATCGTGGGGGCCATGTAACTTGTCCTGCTCTATCTATCCATCTGTCGGGATAATTATAAACATTTTGAGCTGTATATCAGTAACAGTGGGTTTGCGGATATATGTTGATATGAACTTTTTTTCATGTTTTGGTATGGGAAGCTCGCCCTCGAAGTTTGTCTCCTTATTTTACACCTTATAGTTACCTTGCAAATAGAGGGAGAGGGAAGAGAGAGAGAGAGAGGGGGGAAAGTATGACACTATAATATTATATTATAATATTTAATATTTTTATCTTTTTAAAAATTTAATAATTCAAATATATATATAATAATATATATATGCAGGATGTTTCAGGACTCCTATTACAAACTTTGAGGGGTGGTAGGATTCAGTGAAAGTATCGTTTTTTATTAAACAACCCCTGTCCTCCGACGTATTCTGGAATCCTATTTACTGAATCGTTGCTGTTTGCTTTATCACGTAACCGAGATAATCAATGAATACACGCGTGTTATGCACAGCGCACAAATAAATGGCGAAAAACGTGGCGCAGCTTGACCTAATTTAAGAACGTTCATTTATACATTTGTCTATCATCTGTCGTCACGATTCATGTGAAAAAAACGATGCTTTCACTGAGTCCTACCCTCAAAGTTTGTAACAGGGGTCCTGAAACATGTATATATATTATTTTTAATATAATTTTATTGTATTTATATTTTCTAAAAATGCAAATTATTTTTATACATAATTTTATTACGTAAATCAAAGGCAAGAGTGAGATACAAGTACATTTATTTCTCTTTCTTACTAAACTACATTTTTGCAGAATAATCTTAATTATTGTATATTATAATGTACAAGTATTGAAATTCAATCCTCTTCATATTTTTCAAATATTGAGATCCGATTTTTCTCTATACCTTTCATTGTACATACCATTGCTGTAACGCCTTTTTCACATTTTTCTGGCGTGGTATCTCTTACTAGAATATATACAAACTCAATTAAATAGCATTAGAGGAGATAATATGTCATATATGATAGATACTTTTTTTTAATTTTTATTATAATATTAATGTAACAAATTTGATAATGAACAATTGCTCTGATGTTATCTAAAAGTTGAAGAGATTAAAAAGTTATGTAATAAAAAAATAAAAATGAGAAAATGAACAATATTTAAGGCGTTTATTAATTTTATTAAGTATACAATTAATTGTGCGCATTTTTAAATTTATAATAAATATAATAATAGTTTACCTTCTTTAGCACAATCACGTATAAGCTTTTGTGCTTTGGCTTGTAAGAGATGGTCAGGTAATAGTTTCGTTACAATTGCATAAATTCTTTCTTCCTTAAGTTCTGTTCCTTCCATCTTATATTAGAAAGAGAATAAAGATAGAAAAAATAATAATTTCCTAATAAATATAATTAATTATATTTCAAAAAATTTAGCTTTTGTTTTTCTCGTTTACATTGTAATATATTGGTCTTTTAAAATACATACACATAAATTTATTATTCTTTTGCTTATGTAAAAATGTGTGGTGGATGTATGTGTGTATGTATGTGTGTGTGTATGGTGGACATATAATATTATTTAAAGATATCAATTTTTAAACGTATTTATAATAAAACAATTTATTCTTAGAATATTAATAATTTTTGCATTATAAAATATTATTAAACTTTGAATAGTTCAAAATTATATCATTATTTGAGCAATTTAAGTTGTAAAATGTTGCCGTACAAATTATATAATAATATAAGACTTTGAAATCGTAAGAAAAGATAATATAAAATTATACCCAGTTCATCTTTTTTAGAATGCACTCAATTGCACAGCCATGTTTTCTTCTTTTTTCTTTCATTTCAGGTTGTTCATGTACATTATTTAAAATATTCTCTACATTGTAAGCTTCCTCTGAAAAATAAATTGCATTATTTACAGTATATTTTTTAACACAATCTTTCTAATAGAAAAATATAATTAAGTTGTAGTTATTTTATTGTTTTATATTATTAAGGCTACGTTCCAAAACGTACTCCAAGAAAAATTTTACTCGATGGCCGTTCCGAAACTTTTTTGAGCGTTTCTGATTGGTTTCAGGCAGGCCATCGAGTAAAATTTTCCTCGGAGAGGAAAACCGTTTTGGAACCTAGTCTTAGAAATGATAAACTTTTAGAAACTGGCCAAATTTTAATGAAAAGTAATATCCATTTATTTGCTCGAAGTATTATAAATTAGTGTTATTAGAATTAATAATTAAAATCAGTAATATTTTACATTAATATTTATCTAGTAATTTACCTCGAGTCAGATTAACTTGGCTAAGACAAATATCCACTAATTCTTTTCCAGGGTCTTCAGGGCGTGTTTGCAGTTTTGACATTACAGTATCGGTAGAGATAAAGGACTAATACATATTTTATATAGTTATATTTTAAGTAAATTATTTTTCAATAACTCTATAATTTTTCTATTTTTCAAAATAAGTTTAATTTATATAATTATAATTTTAAGAATTTCAGGAATTGTTTTATTAAAATTAGAAATATAAGATTTCTTGTTTGCTTAAAAATCAGTTAAATTGTTATAATGAAAAAATACTTACAACATATCCTAAAATATAGACGCAGAGTATGAAAGCTTTCATCTTAAGTACTAACAATAAGATTATTCTCGCGGCTATTGAAAGCTATCATATTTATACTCATTGAAAACATAAAATGCGTAATAGGTCAAAGATACAAGATTACAGACTAACATTTAATGAAATTACAGATATGGATTTACGATTTTACTTCTTACCATAAGTCTGTTTATATTATCATACTATATAAACTAGACGAATCATTTATAGTAATAATAAGATCCTAGAAATAAAAAATTTTATATATTATTAGATGCTAAATATTTAATTGAATTTTTAAGACGAGAAGCAATAAAGCATAACGAAAAAGATTGTTTTGCTGTTATATTTTAGAAGAAATTATTATATACATATATCTCCTAATGATAACGTCTTAAAAGTTTTTGTGTGCTCTATGTTTGAGTTTTTATTTTACAGCCAATCCAATTCGCAAAAAGATAGGTAAAGTCTCAATAAGTTAAGTCAATTAAAAAGATAAATGGCGATAAGTCTTAATTTCGTGGTACAAACGTAGTAATTAACGAATAAAAATCGCAATACTCGACTGCGATACGCATAATCAAAATGCACGCGTATATAATTGTTATATGACAACAAAATTGGTTTGACAAACGTTGAGTGCTTTTTGTAATTGCATTATAAGCAATTATAATATGTGTTATAAATCAAACGCAAAGAAAAAGATAAGATCTAATGTAGATATAAAAAAATTTATTTTGTAATGCGCGGTTTTATGTAAATATCTCTTGCAATTTTGTTAAAATATTAATTAAAAGACAAAATATTTCAATTTACGGACGATTTGATGATAATAATTTAATCAGACAATCTCTTTCTATTGGGTGACAAGCCAATTAATAACCGATATATACACATACATACACATATATCTTTCTCTCATAACATTTAATATAAATGTGTAACAAAATTATTTCTAGCGCTCTTTTTAATTATTAATTTATAAGCGTGCATTTTGAATTATGACAATAAAGATATTTAAAAAAGCTAATATCTATAATAATTATCTTATAGTCACTTTTTTTAAATCTACTAAAAAATTTAAAATTATGTATTATGATAATATTTTATGTCATATAATATTTTGTTTGTAAACACATTTCATTAAATATAAAATTGACAGTATCTAACATAGATAAAATTGTGTACTGTTGATAAAATTGCATATAAATTCGTTGCAAATATTATTAAAGGAATATATAACAAGAATATTTTGAAGCACATGTACATGCGCGTTAGTTCTAACATATCAATGTTCGATACACGTACTTTCGTACTTTCACATTACCAGCTGAGTAAAAGTACTGCTTCGAAATCCTTTTCTCTTCAGTACAGTACACGATATAACCGAACTTGGAAAATGTGGTGGCTTAACATATTGATGTAATGTAATATTAGAAAATTTAACGTGATGCAGTTTCACGATCTTTCGTGCAGATGGGTGAAGAGAATTCAAATGATACAGATGTGAGTTCTACTTTTAGGAATATATATACATGTATATATATAATAGATAATATTAATATCATAAAGAAATCTGTGGCAATTATATAAAATTTATTTGTAATGCAAATAATTGTGTGTGAATAACGAATATAAAGATATAATTTAAAGATAAATATTATAAAGAACTAATCTGCGTATAATTGTTTTTATATCCAAAAAAAAATATAATTTAACCTATGTCAATAACGCCAACGTTTAAAATAATATAAGAAAAAGACACGTTTTAAATTTTGTATTTAATTAGTAAGTGGGGCATTCTCGTGTTTAATTTCCATGTATATGTATTTGGGATTTTTAATAACGAAACGTTTGTTAAACTTTACATACGTTTATTTAATAGCGTTCATATTTCGAGAATTTATTACATTATATAAACATAGACATTTTGCTTTTTTTACGCTAATTATCTAATTTGATATACCTATGGTATAGAGTTAGAGTACGTCTAGGCATGCAGTATTCCATCGTTATTTAGTAAAACGTGCTTGCACGATAAACACATTTATACTCATTGCCTTGCACGCTCCCTTATACCTTGGCATACTCATTCGAAACATTTTTCTTTTACACTCATATCGTATTCACTGACGCATACATTTTTTCGCGCATTGTTCATTTATTCTCATGAATTCGTACCTCGAGGATATTATCTAATACATTCAAAAATGTTGCTAAAATTTTTGTTAAAAAAGAAGTGTCAGACTTTCACTGCATCATTGCATTATAGCGTGAACTTGTAGCTCGAACATAAAATTAATGTTGCAATATACTGAAAAACTTTGCTTGTGACTTTCGAAAGTTGCAGAGCCGATATAACCAGATAGAGATACACATAAATATAGAGGAAGCGTAGTCTTTATAAAAACATTTTTATTTTATTCATACAATTAAAAATTATTCATATCGTTTTATTATTTTTCTATATATTTGCAATATAAAATTAAAATACGTAAAATTTAATAATTTTGCCATTATATTATGCTTTCAAACATTTTTTATATTGTTTTTGAATATTTCATAAAAAATATTAATTTGATAAAAAATTACATCAACTAAATTGATTCGTTGTAAAGATTTAGGTGGAACGCGTTTCCTTTTAACTAGTACCTGTATTTTTCATGTGGAATGTTATATCAATCTTTGCTCGCATAAGTTCTCCAAATAAAAATGTTCAAACTAAAGATTTTACAAATCAGATTTATAAAAAATCTATAAAATAAAATTTATTCTCTATACTAAGATATATCCACCGCATACAAGATTGTACAAAATTACGTATAATCTGAATTATCCATACATCTAATGTTTTTTAAATGCGACTGTCTTGAGAAATATAATTATATGTTAATATTATAATATTAATGTGTCTGCGCATATTAAATATTGACATAAAATATGAAAGCAGACAGTCGCATTTGCATAACTGCAAATAATAGAACATTATTAAATTCATGATATTAATTTAATTTTCTATGTGTTTTTACGGACTACCAGAAATAAATAATTTCATATCAATAAATTATGTGTTAACATCAATCGCAGATTTATCTAGTCCCGAAATAGTTTAGTAACAAATCTTTTCTACTTGATTTGATTTTTGTTATCTGTAACTTGTTTCCCTTTGATTGTTCGCGTATGCGATTTAATTAAATTCTCGTGACGGATTTACAGGCGACAAAGTAGTTTCCTCGATTCTTGCGTCAAATATTACAAAGTATCAGAAGACAAAGTGTCTTGATGCTTACGTATCTTTCGTGGAGTGAATCGGTGCGCAAAATTCACGGAAGCGAACAATCCGATCTCGATAAAGAGGTGCTTTCCCGAAAGACTTTACTCCGTAAAGTCAAGTGAAAGATTTCGTTCCCATTGCTAATGGCAAAGCCGAGGCATGTGTGTGTCCTTCGAAGCGTATGATTCGATAACTCGAGGTAAAAGTGTTCGCTACGTGCTACGAGAATAAAAGCCAAATGGTATGCGTCGGTCGCATGCGCCAGTCAATCGATCACGAAATATACATGAAACATTTTCGTCAAATAAATATACAAATACACAGTTTTGCACAGGAATTCTGTGGCGCACGGCATGAAAATATATTACGATATTACGAACATTCCCTCTTTTATTATTGTCTAATATATATCATAGCTGTGTGCACACAGAATTCGTGTGCACACATATTTCTCTGCATTACAATTTCATGTGACATAAACATGTCACGACGGATTTGCCGTAATGTAATGTAAAATCATAATAACAATATCGCTCTTAAGCGTTGAATTTAATATTAATTTTCAGCTGATAGATAACATGATTTCTTTGTATAAATAAAGTATTTACACATTTTATATATTTCGAGGAAAATATATTCGTATAATTTACAGCTCGTAATAATATTCGATAGTCGTTCTTCTACAATTTTGCACCTTTTAATGCTAAATGCGAAATGCATAAATAATTAAATCATATGTTGCGATGGATTATTGATACGACGAGTCAACGTACGCTTGCTTGCATATGTTTATTTATATTTCGTTGGACCAAATGTACAGAATCGTGTTACAAAAATCTGTTCGTCTCCGACATGCGCCAGCTTCAAATGTGTCGTAGAAATTTGTGTGAATTAATATTAACTGAATACTGACAACCGAATAGTTCGTAAACATAACGGCATAGAGAACTTATGCGATTACTAATACTATCAAATTATATTTTATAATATATCGTACGATCATGATACACCTACCTTTTCATTACGCTATATAAAAAAGAAAAGGCAAAGACAAAGAATGATCTTCAGTCTTGTCTATCTATCAACAGATGGATGCTATCGTCCACGTTTATACAACTTATAAATCTTTTATTATTCGTCTCTACTTTCGCTTTGCATTAAAATAAATATACCTTTCATGTAGTGTGAAATTAAGTAAAACAATGTAAAAAAATATGTTAAAGGTCTCCTGTGTGTCTTTAAGACGATAGATAACTTTTTTATCGCATTTTCTCATATATGGCCAGATAAATACTTGGCATTGACAGTTTTTAAGCACGGCAGTCGTATAGTGGCAGTGAAATCCGAAAAAAAGATACACTACAATCGTATGACCGTTGAACGTTTAGCGGCCAAAAGCTATGTCTATATAAATCCTATAATTGGTACTTTCTCGCGAGGCGCACGCTAGGTAATAAGATTGCGTCGAAATCGTGAAGAATGATAGCGAAATACGTCGAGAGATATTCGCTAGGTATATGTTTAAAAAATATTTTAACACACAAATGTTATCAAATAAAAAAAAAAAAAAAAAAAAAAGGGAAGAATAATATTTCACGAAAATATTTTTTTAAGGATGTGAAGAAGCTCTACCGCCTATTGCCCAAAGTAGTGGACATGTACGAAGTGCCGTGGCCCAAATTTAGTCACTCAGATTTTACATGGGCTAAAGATGCGCCCAGACTCGTGTACAAGAGAGTACTATGTTATCAAATAAAAAAAAAAAAAAAAGAAACGGAATAAATACATATAAATACTGGCAGTGGAAGATGCGACGCAGTTTTCCGGGATGGGAGAGGCTGGGGGATTGGGATAGATATAAATAGATATAGCATAGGTACGTGATACGACATACATTAATAGGGGCTTACGAACAAATTACGCTCCTTGATTAAACTAATAGCAAATTAGCTTAGATATAAATAATCCGCTTATACAAAAATAATTACGCGGTTTTGTATCGGCGAACGCCGTTTCGAATTACCGATGATTTACCGATCTATACAGTTACATTCATCTCGCGATCGGCTGACCAAATGTTTATACGCAGATTGCTCCATAAATTCTCCATAATTCGTTTTCCTATCATCGATCCGAAACGCTCGCATGCGACTCTTCCGTTGCTCCATGCAGCTTACAGGCTGCATCTCGCACCTCGAAACGTAATATTAGGCCGTAAAGTGAAAAATTCGAAGCGCGCCCTTCGAAATTCGCGATGCAGTCCGTCTCGGCGATTTCGTCGCGGCACGATTTCTTGACTTTTTCAAAAATTAAGCTACATTCCCACTGCTGCTATCGGTGAGGTGAGATAAAAAGTTGTTAACGGCGTGACTTTCAATTAAATGTCTCTGCCACGCTTAAAATATATTTTACATTTAAACACTTATCAGTGATTTAATATTCACACACTTGTGACCCTACATGACTTTTTAATGGCATAACTGCTTGTCTTTTTCTGATTATCGTATCATTTACAAACGGTCTAATATGCTAGCTAAAGATTGTGCAGTTAAAGTGATAGCTGTAACGCTAAATTAGCAGCACTATAACTAAACTCATGAAAAAGGCAAGAAACACGCCGCTATTCGTATCATTATTAAACGCCTCCGATTCGTTTAGATTTATTGGCTATTATGACGATGTCACTCGCGTGTGTATTGTACAAGCGAAATGTTTCAATCGCCAAACCAAACAATCTGCAGCAACAGCGTATTGCAATCATTCACATCATTCTCACAAACATCTCTCTCTTTCTCTCTTTTTCTTTTGCTATTTTTCGCGTATTTAGTAGATCTTTTTTTGCAAAAATTCAAAGACCATTGCTCAGTGGGTAGAAATAGCTATGCGATCAAAGATTCGCGTTTAGTGTAAAAATTCGCTGAAAAGAAGATAGACCTAACGTGGGATATAGGCTTCGCGATATACACACTTACAAAACTTATCCAATAAATTACAAGTGTCAATAATTTACATTAAATGTAATAGTTTTATATAAAAATTCAAATAATTTTCGAAGAATATATAATTTGATCAACATAAAGAGAGAGAGCGGTGATTATGCAACAGATATTAATTTAATTAATGTGTTTTTCACGAATAATTTAAATAAAGATATCAAATATTGATCGCAAAACTCTTTTTAAAGATATTTTGCAAATAACTTGTTTTTTTTTCATTGTAAAGAATAATTAGTACATTTTTAAAATCTACCAAACTTTAAAGGAGATTATAATCGCCATCGGGGAAAATGTATTAAACAAAATGCGATGCGTATAGATCCTATAAGAAGATTACGGAAGCCTGTTTACACGCCGCCGCGAATTCCCTATTACCAGTTAGGTCCATTCCGCGCTAAATCAACGACGTAATCGCACGCACTCGTGCGTACGCGCGATGTTACGAACACGCAAGCGCCCGCGTGCGCGGTCCGCGATCGCAAATATTACGGACACATTGTCCGCGCGCGCGCTTGCGTCACCCCCTTCGTTCGCTTTATATTAACTATATCGGGTCATTATATACGAATAATACCTAGTATACGTTTATAACTGCTTCGAGATATCGATAGAGTCCGTAGCTATATATACGTACAATATAATCTTGCTTCTTCTTTCTTTCTCTCTCTTTCTCACTTTCTCTCTTCTCTCCCTCTCTCTCTCTTTTTCTCTTTAATAATACATATCACACTGAGCCGGCTATGTGTGTGTCCATCTCGTTTTGGCCTGCACTTCGTCACGCACTCCCTTGCGTCTCGCGGAGGGATGTCGCGTAGGGATGTCGAGGGCACGTGTGGTAGCTTCTCGGTCCTCGCCATCCCGCTGCCGCTCCCTTCGTCATCTCCGCATGGAAGCACGAGAAGCGTTGCTACGGATCCGGGGGTTTCTTCTCGGTCTCGTTTCACGTCTCGACGCGCGTCGACGAGACTCGGGCCGCGATGCGTCGACTGGCTAGTAACATTTGCGGGTGCATGTGCACTTACGCACCAGGTCAACGTCCTTGGTGTACCGCATGCCGTCCGTGCAAATTAATCGCACCTGAAAATTGATACGTAATTGTTTATAATGGACATCGTACAATCGTTATCGGCAAATAATGGCGGCGAGGATCATCAGCCGGCTTGATGATCATAATTGCGATAATTGGCACGGTTGCTTCGACCGGCTTATTGCGCGATCGATCACTTTAGAAGACGGCGACAGTCTACTTCGCTTCCCCTGACCATCGTGCTTGCGACGTAGAATTTGACGCCAATTAACAAGAACAAGAGCGATACGGGCTTTAATATTCAACGGCGTTGTCCATTGTCAACCGGGATAATAGAATAATAGGTCTCTCATAACATGTAAATGTTGATGCAACATTAATTTACTCCGAGATTTGATGTTATGCAGGGAGAATATCCTCAGACAATTGAAAATTATACAATAGAATCAATGCATTGTGGTGTGTTTCGCGGAAAACCGTATCGCTCGCGAGTTCCAATCGATGTATGAATATCCTACGTACTTTGCGCCGTTTAGTCTTCCGCGGTAAACAGCAGGACAACTTCCCCAACATTTAGCAAGCTTCACGGGTCGTCGACTCCGACATCCATTCTCGCTATAGTACTCCCTTGTATGCTCCTTGCGACAGGTTGGTGCTGCGACAACAATGTCAATTATTTTTATCGAAAGTGATGGACGTGCGCGATATTATGAGTTAACACACACATACACGAAAAATGTGTATATTAATAATAAAAAATATTTAAAATAATATTTTTTTATAACATTTTGCATTATTTTTTTTTTTTTTATAAATGTATGTTCATCCTACACATTTTTATGTTCATATAGATAAAGTTAAAGGATGCGTCACATGTACCTTTCTCGCAGTATCGTCCTTGCCAGCCAGTTTGACATCGGCAAGCATAACCGTTGCCGAACGGCAATGGTATGCATTGAGATCCTTTTCTGCACTCGTGTCCGATACATGCATGTGAAGGCACCAATCCAGTTATCGGCATGATGACATCTATAATTAACACACATATAAATTGTTTTTCCAAAATATATCCACATATGACAATTTAAAGAATATTTCAAATTATAATTTATCAATTTCTTATTTTAATTCTATTTAAGATGTAATTAAAAGATGTAATTTCTCGCGTTACATATGATCGATTCAACATGCTTTATAAATGTAATATCATTAATAAATGATAAGTTAATTATGTATAATAATTATATAATATTGCGATTATGAAATAATTAAAACTTTTTTAAATATGTGATCCATTGTGTTTTATAAGTTGCTTCGTTAAAGAAATATTTCTAATTTCAGAAATTTGAGAGTTCTGTGTGCTCGACTTTTAAATTTAGCAAGTTGTGTAGTTAATAATTATACGTTTAACATACCAGAATGTTCGCGAGGTATATGTTCTTGCGGCATGGATTCCTCATTACTACCGCTATTGTTAATTCCCTCGGCTGCAACAATATCTCTCGCCTCGTCGGCCTCCTCCTCGCTAGCAGCACATCCGGGAGTAACGCGATGCATCTTTGCGGCATTGCTGAAGTCTACCAACTTATGATTGATCCACATCTCGGAGATGCAGCCTGAGATAAAGTAAGAAAACTTTTAATGGATCTGGCGAGGGAGAAACTTTTGCTTTATCCTATATAAAGAGTGGCGTCATAGGACGGTGTACCGAATGTTATACGATGCAACTGAATAGGATAATAAGTGAGCATATACTCTCTTTCTTTCTGTCTCTCTCTTTCTCTCTCTATGCGTCCACGTCAATTTTTATATAAAGATCGTAATCTTTATGTAAAATTTATATCTTAGTCAGATCAGTGCGTATTGATGTTGATGACATTTACTTTCTCTCACATTGTTAGTAGTATTATTATTTTATAATAAGGAAGAAATTTAAATACAATTATAATATAAATATCGTTATATAATGCAATCTGCGTATGATTATGAATTGCACAAAATCATATTGTTACAAAACTTTTCGTATCTAGTTTCTCTCGGTTATGCATACTGTGCTACATATTATTTCCTACACTATATGCAAACATAGTAAATCAGTATTGCGCCGAGGGACATCAAAAATGTAACCGAATATTAAATGAGATCTCCGCAAGTTGCAAATTTGTGGCTGATATTCCGAGTTTGCGACAACTATCGTTTCCCTGAGGAACCGCACGATATTGGTGTTGGAACTAGCAGTAGTGGAGAACACAAATCAACCGTGAAATCTTCGAAATTCCCAACTCGATGGTTTCATTACAACATTATTATGACAACTTTTTTTATCATTATGGAAACATAATTTAAAAAATGATTGTGATAATTATATAATAAAGATAATTATTCAAAATGACTGATATAAATAAAAAATTGATAAATATTCTATTTTTTTATCTAAATATTGCGGTAACAATATTTGAAATTGACGGTGAAATTTATAAATATATTTGAATATGGTGAAATTAACGTTTCTTCGCAATTTTATTAAAAAAAACAAATGCTTTATCTTTTCATAACGAGGGCACATTCTTATCAATAATATTTTATTAAATTTATAAGGATAATGCAATATTTTATGAAAATTTAATGAGATATTTTTCAGCGTCAGAAGAAAATTTACCTTGGAAGCTCGTAGTGTTTCTTAGGTGAAACTCAGTAAATGCGATTTTAGCAACTTCCGGCGCTACGCCACCGATGAACATCGGCGTGACAAGCTTGAGATACTCCTTTGGACCGTCGTTGATGATGCTCCTGGCAGGGCCCCGGTCGACGCTCATTGTGAAATTTTTCTTGATCGCTAACAGCTCCGCCATGTGAGGCTTGCCATCGGCCACCATCTCGTAACTGTACATCGTCGAGGTAGGATAATTACCCACGTCATACGAAACCCTGACCCGCCCATTAAAGAGCTCGACGGCGATATGCCCGTCGCTTTGCCCGTCATAGAGAAGAACCCCGTTTTCCTGCGTGGTCGTGAATATGATGGTCACGTTCGCCTCAGGCCTCGTGCGTAGCGGTTCCAGCTCGACCAGCGAGCTATTGTCCACGAAGCTCAGACTCGTCAGGTACTCGCATCGTTTTCCTGAAATGATAGGTGGTCTCGCATGTCACGCAGTTTATCTCGTAACGCCACGCATGGCACGCAAGAGGTAATAGAAAATTCTCTATTCTTGAAATCATGAAAAAAACTAAATTGATTCTAGGTTTTGAGAATATATCAAATATCATTTATTGAAGATATTTATAAAAAAAAAATATCCATATAAGAGAGCAGTAATTTTCAAATTTAACATTATTCAAAGTCAATGTATAATTTATTTTATTGATTTTAAAATAAAACATGATCATGTGGCATCTAAATATTCAGAAATGAATTTTTTCTTGAAAGACTTACCGGTATAGCCGGGGTGGCACTGGCAAAGATAGTCCGCGGCGGAGGCAGGAGCTGGCTGGAAGCAGGCACCGTGCTGACAGTCGTGGTGGGCACACGGACTGGTCTGTGGATACAGCATGGCTGTCGAGGGTGCAGCCTCGCAGTATCTCCCTGTATACTCCGCCGCGCACTTACATTCATAATTATTTATGCCGTCAATGCAAGTAGCACCGTTCTGCAAAACAAACAATTTACAGTTTGCAAAAGTAAAAATCTGCCGATAAAAATTTTAAATTACAGCTGAGAGAGAGAGAGAGAAACAAATAGAAGAATAGATTTAACTTAAACTTTAATACATTCACACGCACATACATTATATATATATAACATTCTATCATTCGAGAATCTGATATCAATATTTTTTTCTCGAGATTTTTATATTTTCAATATTACTTTTAAAGAATCTGTGCTTTTTGATCAAAAGAAATAAAATATTAACGTTGCATAAATTAAAAAATATTTAGGTACTATATTTTTGATAGATTATGCTTCGTTATTAAATGTGAATTACGAATGAGTTAATATGTAAAATAATTCTTAACTTAAAGTTACTACATCTGAGATAAAACACACATTACGTTAGAGAAAATTAATAGAAATAATAATTTCGGATATCGATGTGTTTCTAATGTAATTAATGTCTAGCAGTAACTTTACGGATAAGATAGGACGCGCGCACGAACTGTGTGGATGCAGCTAACTACTAGCAGAGGGTTACAAATCATCGAGCAGACCGCCAGTTTCACATGCCTGGTCTAAAGTCTCAAACTAAAGGCCATGTATTCCGGCTTAAGTCACATATGTGCAATACTATATCCCCTCTGCGAGTTACACGTGATAATTTTATCAATGGCTGAATCCTGATTGAACCAATAAAAGCAATTCAAGATATTTGATGTTAATTAATGTTATATGAAGATTTGTAAGCGCATCGATTATAATTAACATAATTAAAAACTTAATGCAATAAACTTCACAATTATTTAATTGATTTATAAAAAATATATCGTAAGTTCAGTATTAAATTATTTTAAGTGTATACAGGATACACGAATCAATATACAAAAATGGAAGATTTAATGGAAAGTAGATCTCTGTAGGTCAATTTCGCGTCATTCATGAAAGCTTAGGAAGCTTGAAACGTGATATAGTATCGTGGCTTTAGAGCTAGCACCACAAAACCGAAAACTCCACACGAGCTTCCGCTATTCCAAAACCGCGCAAATACTCGGACGAAATTTGACTAGTATTATAACACTGCACTGCGAAGAAGAACTTTCGCGTAAAATTTTATGCGCCAACTTTGCTTCTAGGTCGTGGATCTTGTAAAGTTTCTTTCGGTAGGAAGATATCATATCTGTTCGGCTGAGATTCTATTTAAGAGTCGATAGTCAAATAAAAGTTTGGTTCTCATGAAAGTCAAGTTATGTCGCTGTTTGACTTTTCATGTTGTTACTGTGGTGAATTAAATTGATACTATGTTAAGTGATTCATCCAAGAAATAAGTTTCAAAATGCAATCCGAAGAATAATATAATATATTGATGTATTAAATATCTCTCTGTGCCGTATAAATATATAACGCAAGTCTAAAAAAAAATAGCAATTATAAAATACATAATTAAAATAGTTTAAAATAACGAAGAGCGCTATATTATTACAACTGCTACAAACGTAAAAAAAAACTAATAGTGCGGCACCGAGAAATTAATTGCGATTGTTGCAACTGCCAGCGAAATGAGAAAATAAATTTATACGATATGTTGTAAATGAAACAGATATCATCGACCTCATGTGTAGATAGGCAATGTCGTGCACGCGATTTCTACAGCAATAGTACAATCACTTACTTTAATGAATTTTACAATTAATAATAATAATGTAGTAAAGTTGTCATGTATTTTTATAAATGTTTAAAATTAATTACATATTGTAAATTAAGAAAAAAAATAGTATAAAAACTGTTATTAAATATTCTCCGTAAAAATTGGAAGAAAATCTAAAAATGTTTGCTTAATGTCGCGCTCGATATTGCGACATTAAAAAAAAGTGTAAGAGAAGAAATGTAGAAAAATATTATTAAAAACTTAAATTGGAATTATTAAATATTTCGTGACATACATTAATAAAACTATATCGTTTAACGTAACATTTATTTTATCGAGTTTCTCCTTACGGTTTTTTTTTGTCAGAAGAATTTATGATTGGCTGCACGCAAAATATTATGTACTTTTGCCAAACATTTGCTGTACATTCGAATGACGCACAGAATATATAATAAATTCGATAATCGATATATTATTTCAACAAAGCGCGTTGTACCTACTATATTCCCTACGTTTAATAGCTTCATTTGACGAAAAGATTAGAAAATGACATCAAATTGGCACTACGCGCGGGGGAATTAAATCCGGGAATTAAATTTCAATCGAAATTGAATGCAATATTACTGAAAGATATCACGCACATACCTGGCACATATGATCGACACAGTCATCCAGGTTTGTGGAACAATTGAGGCCGGCGAAGCCGATCGGGCATTCGCAGCTGTAGTGGGTCTTATGATCGACGCATCGGCCTCCGTTCTCACAGGGGTCGTGCCCCTTTGTGCAAAAGGGTATCTTCTCCTCGCAGTATTCTCCCATGAATCCTGGGGCGCAGTCGCATCGATAGGCCTGTACGAGGTCGACGCAGGTCGCGTTATTAGCGCACCTGTTGTTGGCACAGTCGTCGACGTTGCTCTCACATCGAAGTCCCTTGTACCCGGGGGCGCAGTCGCAACTGTCACACACCGACTGAACGTCAATCGAGACATTGAGCCCGACATGCGATCGCGGTAGATCCGCCAAATATATTCTATATCGCGGGCGATAAACTGCCGATATATTTGTGCGTTTCTTTTTTTCTTTCCGCGTGCTTCCAGCACATTTGACGATTAAATGTTTATAATGTGAAATGATATAAGAAAAAAGAAAAACTTGGAAATTTAATGATATATATTGAAATTCGAGAAAAAAGATTAACTTGCATTTATAGCCTCATTATTAGATTAGAATAGATTAAATTTATATTTGATTGGATTTTGATATTCAATTGGGATAATTAAATAAATTATTATTACATTATTAATAGTTAATTATAATTATAATGCAAATTTTGTGTGTGTGTGTGAACTGCATTATTATTGTAAGCAATAATATGTATAAAGGAATAAAATTGTTTAGAATTCGAGATAAATTATTCTTTTTATCAGAAATATTGTGTGAACATTACGCGACATGTTTACATCGATTTGATGCACCCACACTAAAAATAGCAGGCGCGTAAATTTTGTTCTTTGATTTTTCGATAATTGCAATAGCCTTTTTGTTATGAGCAGGTTATTGACAGCACGGTCGGCAGTTTATAACCGGTAGTCGTCACTCCTCGGGGCTCACGTGCAGAGGGTCTCGTTTATTACGCGTGTTGGAAGCTGGAATTTGACGAACGCTTCGATCGGATTCTACTCCAAGCACCACTTTAAGCAACACGGTGCGCCGAAGTTTTCAAAATAGCATAGTGACAAAAAGACAATTTTTTATTGCGTTTTCACGATTTATCGAATTGAAATCAAACTCAAACTTTGATATACAATTCTCTATACAAGCGTTTTCTATCGTGCATGTTTGTCTATTTTGATGTCCAGACGAACTATTTATAATAATCTCAAAGAACTATTTGGCATACGCGAAATGATGTTGTGACGTGCAGGCTCTACTGATATATCTACGGTGATATTATTATCGTGATGACATCGATGTTTTTTTTTCATGTCATTTTGTAATATTTTTAATATCATTCAATGTTTGACAACCTATAGATTCTTTACTTTAAGTAATTTCATCATTGTCTTAAAAAAAAATACATAAATCTTTATATTTTTTCATACGATAAATCTATTTTACAGTGTTACCATTATATTTGATCACGATTCCTTTTCAAGATAATAATCAAAGTAATAAGATTCGAATGTCATCAATCTCTCGTTTAATTATGCGTTTGATTATACGTAGTGAAAATTCTACATAATTTTGTAAGAATAAGAAGCGCTCACGTGAAAGAGGAGAAACAGCTGTAGGACATTACACAAGAGGATCTCGAAGGAAGTTTCGTCTAGATACGATACGATATAGCAAACGCTGTCTACGGGTACCACTGAACGAACAACTCTAAAGTCAGCCCGACGAGCCACTACTTTGATCAAGACTCGGACTGTCGCGTTTGGTAAGTACCTGAATCTTCCTTCCTCCAGTACTTTGCAAGTTCCGGAGTTCCTGCAAGGATTTCCATAGCACGCGTCAATTTTATGCTGACACCGGTCCCCGTGATATCCTGGCGTGCACTTGCAATGGAACTGCCGGTCCGGAAGCGCCTCGCAAAATCCTCCATTTTCGCATGGCGAGGTGTAACACAGGTCGCACTTGGCCAAGACTTCGGCTGGCTGTTGCTTGGCTGCGCGGAAGAAAGGTCTACGATTAATGAGCAATTTTAGTACCCTACCGTGATAATGGGCCAAAAAACCACGAACTAAACAGACTGCGTCGCGTTGTACTACGAAAAATCAAAAACATCGTCACGTGCGACAATCAGTACGCGATCGCGGATCAGTAATGGCCAAGAGACGAGAAAAATGCCCTCTTGCCTCTCTTACGACAGGCTACGGGCTTTGTGTATCGACATACATACAGTCGAAATAACGTCGTTAAATAGAACGAAAGGTATTTTTCAGATCTAATGGAAAATCGATACTCAATGGTCCGTTTTACAACGAAGTCGTTACTAAGCAAGATAATGATCTGCATTTTCGCTTCCAGTAGTATAAATATTCTATTAAACTATTAACGAATGTCACTGCATTCTTAAGAACAACATTACATTAGAGTTGCAGATATGGCGTGTAAACGATCGTTCGCTTTCTGTGTTATTTGTATCAACAACGCGTATTATTCCGTACCATTCGTGAATTCATTAATTTGACGGCGAGTGGAGTCTCTTGGCCATTCTGCCCGCAATCGAGATATATGTTTATAAGATATTTACTTTTGCATTGGAAGGCACTAGCCGGTGTCGTCAAAAGCAATTTGTCTCTCATTGCAGGAGGTTCCATGCACCTGGCTATGCCAGGCTCAACGTAATCTTTCTTCACCCATTCCGCCAACCATCGCATGCTGCAGTCGCAGTAAAGCGGGTTGGACCCTAGGGCGCTGTAAATATCGTCATTGATAAATGGCTGGTGCCGAAAATCGAGTGCGTGTGGTTACAAACGAAACAATACTTACAGATGCGTTATAGACTTGAGGTCTTCGAAAGCTCCCTCTGGGATAATCGATATATCGTTGCCGTGCAGTGAACTGAAAACAAGATTATTGTGCATTTTTTGTGTTATCGGCATAAAAACATTACATTTTATCATTTTATTCGGCTGAAAAGGGACTCAGATATCGATTAACAATTTAAGACCTTTATGATTAACATTATGAAATTTTACTTTATCAGAATTAATGGCTCCATTGTGCTACATCTACGAAGCAAATTAAAAGTTTAATGTAAATTTTTCTTTTATATTTTAATGCAATTAGTAATGTTAAATTTTATTTTTGCTCCGTTAATAGATTCGTTAGAGAGCGCTTATTAAATGGTCTCGGTTTAGTAGTACAAAATATCGATTGTCCGACAATTGCGAACGGTGCATAAAAGCGCGTGCATAAATCCTTTCGCGGCGACAGTAAAAAAGACACGTCACGATAAAAACTTCAGCCAAATGTTCGTAGATGTGTGACTCACATTATTCGCAGATTTTTCAATCCCGCGAGGGCATTTCGCTGCACGCATTGCAGTTTATTGTAACTGATGATCCTGCAAAAGAGATTCATGCGTCGTACATAACATAAATCGTTTCGCGAGTCTCTTAGGAGAATTCTTCGCGGAGTAAATATTCGACTTACAGGTGCGACAGCTTCGTGAGATTCCTGAAGGTATCGTTGGACAGCATTCCGATCTGGTTGTTGCTCAGATCCCTGAAAACGAAGCGGACGTTAAAACATGGCGAAAGCCGCTCGAAAGATATACGGACGGTGCACGCGTGTTTTATTTACAGTCTGGTGAGAATCCTCAGGTGGTTCAGCCTCTCCGGCTGGATCGTCTTGATGTCGTTCACGTCCAAATACAGCTCGGTGGTTTCCGGTGGAATCCCGCGCGGAATCTCTGTAAGCTGAGACCTCGAACATCTCACCACCGAGCCCGCGCAATTACATTGAGGCGGGCAGTAATCGTCGCCTAGGCAACCCACGCTGTCGTCTGATGGGTGTAAAACGGTTGGTGGATCGTTAACGAGGATTTGCAATTCAGATCGCGAATATTATTTTATCGAAGCGAATAAAGATGCGCGGTAAAAGTAATTGGCTTATTCCTGAAATTTTCTCGCTATCGTCATTTGGAAATGACATGTAAATTCAAGATACAAACAAATTTGTTATAAGTTCAAATTTAATTGATATGTAGATTGATATTGATTTTCTACGTGTCCGAATGCAAAGTTCGTATGCAAAGCTGTATACATCGATTTCACGCGATACCTATCATATTTGTACTCTATTTCAAATTCATAGCGATCTGATTGACAATAAAATACGATAGTACAAATTACACAAAGATAGATGTATTTATCTACAGTTGCACAATATTCAAATGCGATCGGATAATGAATAATATTGAATAATACGTACTGTTGCATTTAAACTCATGGTGTGGAATATCTTTAATAATGGCATCCTTTAATCGGGGCGGATCATGACACCGGCCAGTGATTCCAGCTATATCTCGTTTCCTCAGCCATCCGGCAAACCACGCAAGATAGCAGTTGCATGATAGCGGATTACTTTGCATGTTGCTGCAAGTACCAAAAAAATATATCAAACGATATAGTAGCAAAATAAGAAGGTAATAAAATTAGACTTTTAGATGATTTTACAGCCGATAATTGTTTACTTACATAGCGCGTATATGCGGCAT